CCCCCCCACTTCCTCAAAGAGATCCGGTTCTGTGAGGGGAACACTGAGCTCTGAACTCTGAACACTGAGCCAAGAGTATCAGGGTGAATCTCCCGTCTTCCCTACCTTATCTGGCCGGACGTTCTGACAAAGAGAGCGGGGCGTAAAATAAACATTTATTGATATTTATTGTCCATATTATATAGTAGTCTGATTTCAAGTTTCTCATCATTCTTATCTATCTTTTTCATGTTTCATGTCGCGTACCGTTTAAAACAATATTATTTTGTTTTGTTTTAAATTAAAGTGCCGTACTTCTGTGGGTTTTTAAATTTTGTTTTATTTCTGTGATTTTGCTTTGTTTTACTTAAGCGTTTTTATTTAAGAATGATAAACCGTTACGGAATACATGTATAAACAAAATCTGACGTATGATATGTTCGATCTGCCGAGACCTATCGAACTGAGCAAAAGTGTTAAGACGACCAAAACAAAACCAAAAAAAAAAAAAAAAAATGTGCCTCGTTGAAAATCCAAAAATCCACACAGGAACCCTACCGCTATCAGTTCATTAGTTCATTATTCAGGAAGCAACATCCTTGAATTCCTGACATGCCCATTGATGCTCCGTTGCTCTCTCCAAAATGTCGCCGAGGGTCTTTCCTCTGATTGTGCCACTGCATATCTGGTAGGACTTTCTTCTGTTCTTACAGCATTAAAGAGCTTATCAATACCAAGGCCAAAGGGCCAACATATCCTAACTATGCTCAAAACAATAAAGTAAAGCAGGTTGTTTTTTTAGCTCCGGGATTTGGAGCTGTCTGCGGTTTTTCCGTGTGATGACAGTAGCTGTTTCCATGACAATACACATCTGTATCCATACAACAACTAGGTGTTTCCATGTTTTAAAAAAAACACTTGAGAGGATTTGTTTATCGTTCTTGTCTGTTATAAACATAGACATATTCACTGATTTTTCTGAACCTTTAGAATGTCCGTTGTCAGAAAGAAATATTTACTAGTATCTTCTAGAACATTTAAAATGTTCTTACAAGTTTTCTCGACAAAAATGTTATCCAAATTTTCTAAAAATCTAGGATTTACTTTAAGGCACTGGCAAGCAACATAACACAATCAAACAATCCGCGCTTTGTTTCAACATGAAGAAGAGAGACGTCACATCTAGTTAATACATGCTTTTCGGAAGAGTGTTATCTCTATTATATTTATTTTAAGTGGTGTTTTTTCTGAAAAAAGGGGGGGGGGAAGGGGGGGGGGGGGTACGTGATGATCTCCTCGCAGTGGTGAGTAGGTTAATATAGGGCAATTGTCAGCTCTGCAGAAATGGGGATTAATTTACTTTATGATCATGAACGTAATATGTGATGTAATACCTAGATCTTCACTGTTTCGGAAGAAAAGAAGGTCAAATGTGTATTTATGGATAAGAATGAAACGCTGGCTTTTTTATTGTGTAGATAAACTAAAGATACATTATTAATAAAAGAGACAGGAAAACACATTCATGCTTGACAACAAGAGATAATTTATTCTTTCTTTGCGTACCTTCTTACCTTCTTGAAGAATTGACTTATGATAATGTTTGTATCCTTTAAATAGTCTCGAATTTCTTCACAATTCTGAATGGTCGTCTAGTCTTGTTCAACGTTCTGTCAGTTACAGAGCTAAAGCTTCTCTCAAACATCATCACCACTGATCTCCTCTGCGCTCTCCCCCTCTCCCCCGCACGTAACCATCCATTGCATTCCTTCCCCTGTACCACATCCTTCAAACACGCACATTAGTTCAGATGATTGTCTCCACATGTCATCATAGAAGTTAAATCGTTATATTATGTCTTGCTAAAATGTACAAGCCTAAAGGAATGGGCTCTACGAATGGGCGCATACCTCGTTGCCTGGCAATACGGCCGATAAAATTGTGATGTCACACCCCGCCTACTGACACAGGAGTACTCAAAGGAGGAACAACGAAAGTACATAAGAAGAAAATAGGAGGAATAAGGGCACTCAGAGCAGATAAACCGAGAATTCAAAGAAGAAGTAAAGAAGAAATAGCCTATTATGCACAACAGACAAACAGAGAGCCCGAAGGAAGAGTGGAGGAGAGATTTTGCCCAAGACCAAACATCTTTTAGGAGACATGACTTCTTTTTTGTCCTTGAATCTGTGTCTTCACAAACTACTTGGGCAAGACTGTGACTTTAGATTAGACTACATACACACATACACCTTATCTCCTTTTGGTGGCATTTGGAAGCATATGTGTGGTCAACGTTCATGGCTACTTAGAGAAGGTTAAATACCGACATGCACAGAGTGGGGGAAGATTTCAGGCGATCTATGATAGACATCTGTCAGTTCTCAGGCATGATCTTTGGGCAAAAAAATCTACAGAAGGCTTTTATTTATTGCTCTTTGTTCTTTCAGGATGTCTGAAGATTTCATGTTTCCTTTTGAAAAAATCCTTTTAATTTTTAGTCCGTGTCCAATGCAGTGATGTCTTATCTAAATAGAAAAATGGTAATAAGTTGGGGGGTTTTCCAACGGTTCCGTTGACTTTGATCCTGGCGTGTTAGCAATTTACGTGGATTTCATGATTTGTTCACAGAAATATAATCAAACATTGATGTGTAAGAGGGAAATGTTATGCTAGAACAGGCAGCAACACTGGAGATGGAATTAAAGCACTAACATTTCGCAAAGCCAGAGTAACAAGGTTATTTTTCACTTACCTTCACCTTTGAGAAATATGGGTTCAAAGTTTCTGCAACCTTTATTTTCTTCAAATTAAGAACAAAACTAACACATTTTTATATCAGAAAAAAATAACAAGAGTTATAACTTTTACATAGGATGAAGAGGGAGTACAAAGGATGGTCCAGACGCTCCAACTAGAAAAACGTAAAGTTTGAGTTTAAAGTCTTCTTTTCTACAGTAGTTATGTGATTTGTTAACATTAACACATCGCCACTTCAGAATTATTAAGTTCTATCTGACATTTTTTTGCCGTTTTGAGTTACTAAGACCACGATGTCAGGGACCAAATGCAGTATTTGTCCTATCAAAATCGAAAAATTATTTGGAGTTGTTCAAGATGTGTAAAGAATTGCCTTTCAAAAAGCTTGACATGTTGTGAAACTGAGAATTCATAACGTCAAATTTCTCAAAACTAGGTACTGAGCAGATAGAACTTTGTAATTCTAGGGCAGCGACTTGGCACTTGCGAAGGAAGGAAAGCTCAGTCTCACTCATGACTTGCCCCAAGCACAGAACGTTTACCGGTTCTAATTGCCAAAGTCGCTCTTGTCAATAAACATAAACTAGGCCCTGTTTGAAATGTTGCTAATGCCCCCCCCCCCCCCGCCCCCTTCTCTTAAGTACAAGCTCTCCGAAAGAGGAGAGGCAGGGACAGAGACAGAGAGTAGCAGCATTCGTAACTTTGATTTTGATTTCTGTGTGGACTCAGATGCTCTCGATCCTTTTCAGAGCTCGATCTCAACGATCATTGGTAAAGTTGATTCTTACCGGGTATCTAAACGAGTTTTTGTAGAGTTGATATATGAACTCAAATGTTCTCGCTCATTCTCAGAGCTTTCTACGAGTGTCCGGTTTAAGCTGTCCTTTTGAAGGAAAAAGTTAGATTGAAAGCCTATCTACGAGACCTGAGTCGAAAAGTTGAATCCAAGATTTCAATACCTAACCATACTCTCTGTTTAAACTTAGTGAACAGCTTGACACAGACTGCCAATGTAGAGAACACCAAGCCCTTCCGAATGTCTGCATTATCTACATGTACTTCCATGCCTCTCATCTTTCGCCTTCCTCTCCCTCCCTTCTCTCCATCCCCACTCTGCTTCCACTGTCTCCTTCCCCTCCCTCCGCTCTCCACACCCCTTCTCACCCCCCCCTCTCTCTCTCTCTCTCTCTCTCTCTCTCTCTCTCTCTTCCCCCCCCCCTCTCTCTCTCTCTCTCTCTCTCTCTCTCTCTCTCTCTCTCCACTACAAACACAAAGCCACATACACACTGAACGACCGAAGATGAAGGAACATAAAGGAGTCTGTATTTTGGAAGAAATCCTTAAAACAATAACAGAAACAAAGCATAATCACTCACATACAAAACCAACAACACTGCAAAATGTATAAGATTATATTGTTGATTATCATTATAACTGACTGATTTAACTGAAGACAAATCACAAATCATTGGTTAAATCTACGACAAGCCATTTCAAAATTGACAAACACGCACAAAACTCCAGTTGTGGCGAAGATCTCGTGTCTAGCACGTTTTTATTTAGCTTAGGATGAGCACAGGGGCACGTTCTTCTTGTAGTCGCAGATCTGTAGAGCTTCATTGAACACCAAGGCTGTGGAAAAAACAATGGTTAGAGTTTCGTGAAACGCACAATTTGTGGGTGACAGAGTACAATTCATTGTTATCACTTTGGGCTTTTTTCCCCACAGACTCTCGGCAAAGATTCAAGAGAAATACAGCGGAATCCTGTTATAACGAGAGGGAGGGGACCTGTACTAAATGTCCGTTATAGCAGAATTCTCGTTTCAAGGGATCCAGTAATAAATTCAAGGGAAGTAGTAAAGCAGGCCTAATCTATGATTTGGCGTTCGGTTTATTTCTTTTTGTATTTCCCCTGATGATGATTTGTTCAACATGATCTCAAGGTCTTACTTGATCAAAAATCGAATCATGTTTCTTACTCTAGTACTAGCAATGTTGACAAATCGGCCTTGGCGATCAGAAAGAAGGGGCTTTGGCTCTAGGCTAACTCGCCCTCAGTGTTGTCCCCCACCCCACCACACACTGTGACGCGTTGCGTCTGCTCGCGCACATCATACATTCACTCCATCCATCTACACAGCATCGTTACCTCTCCATCCCGCACCAGAGAAGTGAGAGGCACGGCATGCCTGGATAATCTAGACTGGGCTGGCCTCACGCGATGCGTTCTGCTTGTGTCTGCGCATGCCACACCCTCCCCACTCATTCCCTCCGGCCTTCATTGTTGGTTCGCGTGGGATCTCCCATTCCTTGTTTCGCTGGATCACTGACAGCTCTCTCAACTGGCAAGGTTTTATAGGTTTAATTGGTCTGTGCGCTGTGCACAGCAGCAGCAATATTCCGTTATAAACGACTCACGTGACGGTCTGATTGCGCAACAGCAGTATTTTATTTACAAAGATAAAGAAGGAAAAAACGGGGTTTTATAACAGTGTCTTTATATCAGACTTCTCGTTGTTTCAGGACTCGTTATAAGTGGACTCCACTGTATTATGAACGAAATAAACACACAGAAAATGCATGAACAAACTTACAAACACATGGAATATTTAAACTTACGTGACTTAGAAACAGATAAAGAACGCAAGTAAGCGCATCACCCGAGTCAATTCTGTTCGCCTCAAAAGTAGAAAAAAGCCAATGTTGGGGTATATTTCGAACCATCATACACTAATCACAAGCTCAACGTTGGATAAACTATTTCAGAGTATGCTTAAAGTTTCAGAAAAAGAAAAAAAAATGAAAAAAATAAACTTTAGGAGTAAGGAAGATAATATGCTTCTCCTTTAAAGAGTTACAAAACAGTGTCCTCAAGTGTTGGCGAATGGCGTCAATGGGCGTCCACAATACGTTAAGAAAAACAAAAATATTGACTTCAAAACCATAAATAATATGTGCCTAAGAGAATTAAGAATATATCCATAAATAGAAATAACATGTTTTTATGACCTCATCAACTTGGTCTATATCATTGGGGGAGGAGGGTGGGGTTCTTGGACCCTACTTGTGAAGGTTAACCTTATACAGCATTCTAGCTATAGAACAAAGGCACTTAAATGATACTTTTCGAGGCTCTGAAGTATACACATCATATCTGCAGAATTTATACTAAAAGTTATGCCAATGAGAACTATCAATGGCGCAGTTTCTTTCTTTTCATACAATATCTCCAATTCTATTTAAAACTTTGCTACGGACTTTTCTCAAAAGTCGCATTTCATAAAATTTAAACATCTCCCAAACCTCAAATGCTTATTTATTTCTCGAAAACATAATTTAGCAAAAAATGAGATATTAAAACTCATGTTGACGGCGTGCAACGACTAAAATCTCAACTTCCACACCACACAATGGCATACGGGTTATACAGATGCTGATGGGTGCTATCCTGATGTTACACCCATCCTACTCTTTAACGATTAGAGGACACTTATCCGATCAGCAGCAGATCAAAGGCAATGTTGCAACACGTTTCAACCCATCATGATATTCAAATCAGAAGCACGAAATTATATTTTTTAGAATTTGCCTGCATGTTGTTGCCTGCCCTCTTAAGGTTCGTATAACGAAAGTAGAATTGAAACACATTATGTATGAATAAGAAAGGAGAACCAGGGATCGCCGATGTCTACCGCAGATCTGGCTGTTGATGATGATGATGCATGAATAAAAAAGTTGTTCTTCGTTTTCAAAGCAACCCTCACCAAAAACAAGAGGCAGAAAAAAGTGCGTCTTCAACTACTTCAACTTCAAGCATTGTTAGACAACCAAAATGCGCGTCATAAAAGAATAAAAGACATACTGGACAGTAGAAGTTTTTTAGATTATTTCACGTCAGCCTCAAAGTCCTAGCTGGCAGGACAGTAAAAGTGTCACAGATTAAATTATTTTAAGACAGTCTTAAAAATCTGCTGGTAGGATAGTAGAAAGGTCCCACTTTATTTTACGTGAGTCATAAAAACTTACAGGCCAGTAGAATTAATGTCCCAGATTATGTCACGTCAATTGTAAAGACTGATTGGGGGACAGTAAAAATGTTCCGTATTATAATTATTTTACGTCAGTCTTAAAGACTTACTGGCAGGGCGGTAGAAATGTCCCAAGTTATTATATTTCATTCTTAAGATTTTACTGGCAGGGCTTTAGAAGTGTCCCACATTATTTCACGTCCGTCTTAAAGACTAACAGGCAGGACAATTGAAATTTCCAATTTTATTTAACGTCATTCTTAAATTTTTACTAATGGAACAGTAGAAATGTCCCTATTTGTTTTACGTTAATCTTAAGGACTTACTGGCGGGACAGTAAAAGTGTCCCAGATTTTCCTCCCTGAAACATCTGTAGTAGCTCTGGCACTTGTCACCCAGGTCGGCATACATTCCATCGGGCCGCTTGGTGCAATCCTTTACTACTTTGCAGTCGGTGTTGCCGGAGCTGAAATTCATCATCATCATCATCATCATCATCATCATCATCATCATCATCATCATCATCGTCATCATCATCATCATCATCATCAACGAAAAAGCAAAATACGGGTGGAGAGTCTTAAGTTATTTTCTGTAAGTAAATATCGTTGTCGCCGTTACTTGTCCTTTGAACATTTTTCATTGACGCCGTAATTATGTCATTATTGCTATAATGGTTGGGGTGGGGGTGGGAGCTTGATGAACTGTAAACATACGGTAAACAAATATACTATAAGCTAGGAAAAGCACTCATAACACTGACAAATTCCAAATTTGTATTAAGGGGGCTCTCGTGGCCAAGAAATTGAGGTGTTCTCCTCAAATTCTTCTCTAAAATTGTCTCCTTTCCCTTCCTTTCCTGCTCTTTAGCAATGCTCTGTCGTCTGCTTCGTCTCCACTTTCTGTCCCACCCAATCAACTCCTTTGCCCCCTCCTCTGGGCTTCTGACTCTTTCTGCAGCCTTCCTACTGCCACTTATTGGCTCCTTCTTACTGTTGTCTTTCAGACATACCCCTGATCTTCTGGTAGGTAAGATCTACACCTAGCCTTCTGGGACAAGGGCGAAAAATCTCGGAGGTCCTGTGTGCAAGTTGCGCAGGTTAAAGATCCCTTGGTGGTCTAAAATCGATAAGAGTATGCTTCGGCCGCCACCCGGAGAAATTTCAAATTTCCTAAAAAATGAAAATGTTTAATGTGCCCTGCGCGCTCACATGACCTTAAGCAGTTGCGAGCGCCTTAAAACTCTTACCAAAAATCATTAAAAAGAATTGTATTATCATACTTCGTTTGTCGATGCTCACCCGCTGACTTTTTTAAAGTGATAAAAACTGACTGTCAAGAGATCTTGACGATTGCAAGAAGCAAGCCACACCAGAGCACCCCCCCTCCCCACACACACAACCACCTTCTACCTCTTTCCAATCAAACGTCTATTGTCTTCATTTCTCCTTCTTCCTTTTTTTCTATGCTACTCTCTGGGAACACTTTACATCTTTAGCGCATATGACTTGTATGTGTTGCAAGTGTCTTAAAACTATTACTAAAACTGAATATATTCAAAAAGGGTATGGGGAAGTTTTGATGTGACGTCATGTAACTGGTTTTGATGTGGAGTAAGTCAAACTTTCTCACGTCACTAAAACGGCCAGACCATAGATGGAAGGCGGGCGGTAGTGTGGACTGTTCTCTTGGCAGTGTGTTGGGGAGAAGCGGAGGGCTGGACTCCGGCCTCTGAGGTACAGAGAATAGGCGCTTCGCCTTCGCATGTATGAGACTTGAGTTCGATTTCCATGTCGTGTGGTGAGGGCAGACTTTTTATTGAACATCTGAGGGTTTTTTTTGCTGGGATGTTGTACCTCTTTCAGGCAAGATTGCGCTTTACAGGCAGGGTCGAAGCCCGCCTTCTAAATGATCCAAATTGTGTCGATGGGGGTTTAAAACCCTTGTATTATACAAAAGAGAATGTCCAACTTAGTACGTGAAATCAGCTGTCCGAGGATTAACAACTACGACATTTTGAAGCTGTCCCGCTCTCTTACTCGACACAGGTCATGGTGTCCCTCTCCAGAACCTGTCCTCCAGTACAGCGGTGCACGTAGGGCTGTCCGTTGATGCATTGCTTGTAGCCCCAGCACTGAATCTCCACGTACGAGTCGGCATTTGCCGCCGTGCACGTGAAGTCGTACGGGTAAGACGTTGTTGGCATGGTGACCGCGTCTGTTTGAGTCGGGGTGGAAGTTGCTGGTGGTGTTGTTGCTGCTGATATTTATAGATGACATGACGTGTAAGAAACGCAAAGATAACACAAGGGCAACATGGAAGATAATTTTATATGCCGTGACGTCATAAAGCGAAAAAAGACAAGGATGCTGGAGAAATAATATTTTGACACTACTTATAGATGGAATTGTGTAATTTAGGGAAACAAGATAAGGACAGCTAGAGGAGACTATTACATGTAGCTATCTAGATGACATGACGTCATGTAGGGTAACAAGTAAGGAAAGCGAAGCGAAGGTATAATATATTATAGAAAACATAGCTTCATAATACATGTATTGTTAGCGCCCGTAAAATAGCAGCTTGCACTGTATGCTTCCCAAGAAATTAAGATTGTTTCAGAATGCTAGGGTAATGATATAGATTGAAAAGTGCATAGAGTTTGCAGTTGAGCGGGGATTTGCGCTATACAAATGGTATCTACTAATCAACTAATTTTATCGGGAAACAAGACAAGGACAACAATAGGAAAGTATTTATATATGGCTTGACGTTACAAAAGGTGCCAAGACACGGACAGCTAGAGAAAGATATTTGTAGATGACATTACGCCATGTAGGGAAAAAGACAAGGACAGCTAGATAAGATATTCATAGATTACATGACGTCGTTGAAGGGATTTATTGATACAATTTCAGCAGAGGCCGCTTAATCTAATACGAATAGTAATTATCGTTCATGGTGGTGTTGACTTTGTATCATAGGTTGTAGTGGTTTGGTGAGCAACAGTTGGGCAAAAACACGTGTACAAACAATAACGCTAAGAGAAACCCTTTAAACACACAAGCCTTTTTTCGTCCAGACTTGCTTCTAAACTACGATGGTGTGTCGACCGGGGGGAGGGAGGGGGGGTGGGGCGTGAAACAACCATTTAAAAAAAACAGATGATGATGATGATGATGGTGGTTACGGAATGTCTTTTGCTGCAGTTTCTGATGGTGCTCACAGTGACAATGACGACAACCACAACAACAACCACAACAATAACAACAACAGCAACAACAACAGCAACAACAACAACAACAACAACAACAACAGCAACAAAAGCAATAACAGTAATGGCTGGAAGAAAACGTACCATATCCCACAGCTAAGACAGCGAAACAGACGATGAGAGACTTCATGTTTATGCCGGGACGCTCGGTTATCAATGCACAAAGAAATTCTACAGAGGAATGATTTTGCACAACGGCATTCGTCTTTATACACTCGGGGAAGATTTCTCCTAGAACCAGGCACGTGGCTGGAAAAGGACACGGACACAGCTCTGTCTTATCTGCGCATAAAAAAAAAGAAAACTCAATGCTGTTGGGAATACTGAGAAGGCTTTACACAAGTCTGTATTATCTGTGCACAAAAAAAGAAAATAACTCTGTGCATTGAGAATACTGAGAAGACTTTGTCTGTTCCTTACCCTGTGTAAACTTGAGGATCGAACTACACATCTAGAATAGGAAGGTTTCTACCACAGAATGTTAAGCTTCAAGTTAACGTGTTTGGGCACCTACTTGTAGGCTACTCTCTCTACATGTTTTATCAAAAATACAACTATTCTTATTTTATTTTCTAAGACAGAACTATGTTTCGTTTGTTCTTCGCTTTAAAGATGTGTTATAGTCTGTGAAAAATTTGAGCTATAATATCAAAAAGAAAAAACAACAACAACGATGTGTGGTTGGCAGGTGCTGTTGTGTGATTCGCTCCAACTTTCCTACCAAACAACTATAGTCCTTATCTCTCCTCCATCTTTTTATATTTGTTTCTCTCTTATTAGCTCATCTAATCTTCGGTACTTTTTGGACCTAATTGTGTTGTGAGTGCCGTCAAACTTTTATCAAAACTAAACTCTAAAAAAGTAGCGAAAGTAAGATACAAGCTTGTTGTACTGGGACTACTTCTCGTTCTGCGCACTGACACAACTGTTACTGCTCGAGTAGCTGAGATAACGTCAGCTTGTCAAGTTTTTTAAACCTCCTTGATTCGTGTATGTCTTGGCCAGTGTGTGTGTGTTGTGTGTGTGTGTGTGTGTGTGTGTGTGTGTGTGTGTGTGTGTGTGTGTGTGAGTGTGTGTGTATGTTTGTGTGAGAGTGCGTGCGGGTACGTGTGTGTGTGTGTGTGTGTGTGTGTGTGTTTGTGTGTGTGTGTTTGTGTGTGTGTGTGTGTGTGTGTGTGTGTGTGTGTGTGTGTGTGTTTGTGTGAGTCTTAGCCAATATCTGTTTCAGCGAATGTGAGGCTCTGCCAATGTCTGACGCAGCTTATGTCTGTCTAAAGTGTCTGTCAAAGCCAACGTCTGTCCTTATCAGTGTCTCTCTCAACCAATGTCTGTCTAAATCAGTGCTTGTTTTTGTTGATGTCTCTGAGCCAGTGTCTGTCTTAGCCAATGTCTTTTTTAACCAATGTCTTGTGTCTGTCTTCCCCACGTTTGTTGTACGACTCCCTTACTTCCAGTTTCTCTCGTGCCTCCCACCCCCACCCCCACTCGCCTTTTCTACCATCCCACCCAATTTTGCATCTAACCTTCTGGTTGAAAACATATTAATTTCGCAAAATACCAAGTGGCCTTACCGTTGTGGCGTGCCTATCTTCTCCTTAAATTACATACCAGCTTATATCTAAACTTGTATTCAAATACTCACACACAAACACAGACACACACACACACACACACACACACACACACACACACACACACACACACACACACACACACACACACATACACACACTCATATACATGTATAGAAATATATGGATATACACACAGACACACAAGCATATACTCATACACTCAAAACAGATAAACACACAGGCCAAGAAGGCGAAAAGGACGTCTTCGAGCAAAAGTATCCCCGCCCCTCCCTCTACCCCTATCCCCTAATCAAAAACACAAATTAATAACCCTGATGCACACTTTCCTTTTTCTCCACCCCCCCCCCCCCCCCCCAACTAACTAGCCAACTAAACCAAAAAAACAACCCTACAAACAAACAAACAAACAAAAAGAAAAAAACTGTAGAAAGAGAGCAAGAGCACTCCCTCTATGTCCGTTATTCGTCCAAGAAATGTTCTTACAAGAATAAAAATAGCAGATTGACAAAATGGCGGATCTTGAGGTATTGACGGATCTTGAATAAGGACTAGGTGTGTGTAGAGATAAGCAGGTGTCTCAGTCACACACCGAACTGTAACTGGCACACATACAGTCAGACAGGACTTGATAGTGGATAGTAGAGGAAGGTCTTATCAACGTTTTAAGATGTCCTGATAGCCAACAATTCTAATTATTTCACCCGGACTCACAGCGACAAAGGGTCCCCATCAGTGTTTGACAGAATTTTCTGCTGGGACATCAGAGAACAACTTGGCCAAAGTAACAACGCTTACTAGTTACCTCTTCATGTCCACGAGATGCTACTCCTCCCATGTGTTCTGACAGAAACTTTCGTACTTCGGCGATGACATCCCACTCCAGTTTTTCCCTCCCCTCCTCCACCCCCCCTACACACACACACACACGCAAGCTTAATATAATCGAAGCCTGGTCTTTTAAATGTCAGGCCAAACACACATGATATACCAGCTTTGCGAATTGGGGAGCATCATATAGGGTTTGTTTCCTTAGACTGCAACGTCCTATCCGACGGGACTGAGACTGGAACCCGCAACTTTTCGCACCGTCGTCTTTTTACACTTAAGTTGTGCGTTTGGTGAATGTTCTCAAACTTGTCATCCACCATTGCCACTCATTCCTCATCAGAAAACAATTGTTACCTTAGAATTACAAACTTATGCACTACAGTTTTGGCCGCTTTGAGTTATTAAAACCACGAGGTCAGAAACCAAATGTTCTATCTGCGCTATAAAAATCATAAGATCAATCGGAGTCGCGATCAAAACGTTCAACAACTGCATTCGAAAAAGCTTGACATGTATGAAACTCAAAATTTTTAACACCAAATTTATCAAACTAGGCTCTGAGCAGATTGATCTTTGTAATTCAAGGGAAATGAAATGTCTTTGTCAGAACATTTCCGTGACATAACGGTTTTGGTCCATATTAGACCAACTTAAGGGAGAATCTCGAAATCTACTTAAACAAATCTTTTGTTTAGATCCATAATCTACGGTCATCATAAAACTAAATTTTCCTGCTCTCTTTTTAAATTTTGGGAAGAAAGTCTGGAAACCAGTTACCCTATAAAATAAATGCTTAAAAAGTAGGAGGTTGTAATGTATCTTGTGGGATGGTGATGTTAACCATTCTGTGATGGTGTGGCGTAAGGAGCGCTGTGTGTTCTCTCGTTTGCTGGAATGTCTGGGGACGTCCCTGAGATGGTTCAATGTGCCCATACCACTTCCGTTTGCGCTTATGTGCCATTCTCATCTGATCTCCACTATATTGTCAGCGTCATTCAATAAGCGCATAAGTCGTTATAAAAGTTTGGCGGCATTAAAAAATAGAGCACACCCAAATTAGAACCATGACTTGGCTTCTCCTAATTTCTCAATAACTGAAACTTGGAAACAAGAAACGGAACAGAACGAAACTATAATATTATTTTAAGGTGTATTTAATTAGAGAACACTTTTACCTGGAAACCTCAAAATTGACTGAAGTGATTTTTGGAATCATGAGGAGGATATAAACTGTAAATTCGCTTGATCGTATTTTTTTAGTTTCTTCAGGTATCATCAGTGACATTGTTTTTCAGAATGTCTTGGTCTGGGGTACAAAACTCAGTTTACCCCGGGGGCAGATGAGGGGTAGAATCTGGGTAAGCCTGGGCTGCGTTAACTGATGTAAACTTTCCTATCTTTATACTTAACTGTTCAGAACGAAAACAGTTCTTCAGAAAACAAGCCTCCCTTACCAACTCCTTTCTGCCAGAAGCATGGTAGTACTTCCTCTCAGCCACATAATTTGGCCACTAAATTGTCAATGTCAGACTCACAGACACTCAAAGCTATCACTTTAATTATTCTTTAATGTAGATTTAGGAGGCGGGCTTCCGACACTGCCTGTCAGGGTCAAATCGGCATGAGAAGGATACAAAATCTTAACAGAAAAGCCATTATACTCGATAAAAATAATTCCCGCTACTCTGGAATACAATTCGGGTTTCCTGAGGGCATCAGCGAAGCAGGTAACCGATACATCACAGATATACAAAGCTATCAGTGTTATATTCGCAGGCATACAAAACTATTAGTGCCAGAGTCACATACACACAAAACTATAAGTGCCAGGCCCACAAACATATAAAACGAATCAATATCAGACTCACAAACTCACAGACTCACTAGCTCACAGTCTCACTGAATCATAGACTCACAGTCACACAGACTCACAGACTAACAGACTTACAGACTAACAGACATACAGACATACATTAGTGTGACCAAGTGACACATCTGTCAGATCTTTGAACTTTGTGAACTGAACTGTTTCTGTTTGTCTTGAAAGTTGTTTGATTGGTAAAATTTAAAAAAACCCACAAAAAACATTGTTAGTTCAATTCCCAGTTTCAACGCGTGGGTTCGAGTCCTTATCTCCTAGTCTCTGAGCTGTAAATGTGCGCTTAGTTGTTGTAACAGTCGGGAAGTGAGGATGAACGTACCTAGGTGTGTAACATGCTGCAACAGACACGGTGTGTGTGTGTGTGTGTGTGTGTGTGTGTGTGTGTGTGTGTGTGTGTGTGTGTGTGTGTGTGTGTGAGTGTGCATGCGTGTGAGTGTATGTGTGTCTATTTGGAGAAAGTAATAGATAGAGAGAGAGAGAGTTAGAGGAGTTAGAGAGAGAGAGAGAGAGAGAGAGAGAGAGAGAGAGAGAGAGAGAGAGAGAGAGAGAGAGAGAGAGAGAGAGGACCGACAGACAGAGAGACAGACAGAAAGAGACAAAGACAGACAGACAGATAGACAGACAGTCACACAGAGAGACAGACAGACAGACAGACAGACAGACAGACAGACAGACAGACAGACAAACTTTACTTTTACTTTTACTTTTTCATCCTCTCTTGCCATTAAGCGTCGAGGGGAGATGTAGTTTTGTATGGTAGGCCAACTCCGAAGCTCGTTCAGTTGTAATATTGTTTTCTCAGGGTTTCGTTGACACCCTCGATCCACCTTTGCGTTGCCTTCCTCAGCATAATGCTGGTGATAAGCTGTCTCTTTGAGTACATGGAGATGTTTGGATAGGACAGGAGGGGTGCGAGCTGGTAGGGGACAGCGTTGCTTTTTTTGTTCGCATTTCTATTTCTCTGTCTATGGACCCCGTTTTCAGAAACATTACTGGCAAGATATTTAAACTACTTTACTTGTTTCAGTTGTTTACTATTGACATGGACGCTCAAGGAACAGACAGAAGCAAAATGAAAATGGACATCGAGGTTGAACGAGAATGCGGCGTTTGTTCCGCTTTGCTTCATAGCTTGATCATTGCGTTATGTCTTCCTTCATGGCTAGTTCTTGTTTTCTATTGCAGTAGCGTCATAACAGCGAGACTAGTACAGGTAGATAGATAGATAGATAGATAGATAGATAGATAGATAGATAGATAGATAGATAGATCGATCGATAGATAGATAGATAGATAGACAGATATATTAATAGATAGATATATAGTGCATGTGCATGCTGGTGTGTGTGTTTGTGTGTGAGTACGTTTGTGTATATGGGTACGTGGTGAAACACCAAACCAATGTGCCAGGATCTGGGCAATAAAGATGTATCTTACCATATCTTATCTTATCTTATCTTATCTTATAGACAGACAGATAGATAGATGTGTGACACACAGCTGCCAGTCATGAAGGTAGCCATACAAAGCCCAATAAGAAAAAAAGATGTTTTTATTGAGGAGCACACATTTACCACTAATACTAAATATTTAGTCTTTTAGTCCAAACGAGGGTGACGTCACTCTCTTTCATCATCATAAGGTGCCAGATCTGAAACAGACACCGGCGATCATGGTTCTCCATTCATTTCTCCGCTCAGTTGCTCCCATAAAGTCCTATATTATCATGGTGTTTCCCCATCAGCGATCTGTTCAGGTATTTCGTGCACAGAAAAATGCGACCAGGGTGTGGTGCAACATTTTCTGTGGACCACTCTAGTACTTTTTAAAACAGATTTGAGGCTAAGCCACAGATTAAAAAAATAGAACACCACACTCCTACCCCCCTTCCCAAAACCGACAACATAACTTTGATTAGTTTAACGATGAGGCCAAACAAACATGGGGAGTTATCCAACGACAACTATGGGAGGCGGTGGTGGGGTCGTTTGTGCAGGTGTGGCGGTCGTTTGAGCGGGTGGGGCGGTCGTCTGTGCGTTGGGGTTGTATTTTGTTCCACAAGGGGGGAAGATGTTCCAGGGGTAGTCACACAGTTGTAGCTGTGGGTTGAACGCCGTCACTGGAAACAAACATTGGTTGTTATATTATTGACGGTATTATTCATTCATTAAAAAATAATATAGGTGTTTTACGCCCTCCTCCTGCTCGACACAATTTAAATAATCTAGGAGGCGGGCTTCAACCGTGCCAGTCAGTGCCAACCCAGGTTGAGATGGATACAACAGTACAATGGAAAGACAAAGATATTCGATCATAAAAATCTCCCTATTCAGGAATGGAACCCGGGACTCCAGCCTGAGAAGGCGAAGCTTCTAGAGGGTACACCGCCGACGCCAGTGTTCATTTAATTGTTTGTTTACATATTCCATTTCTTTGCCAGCAATTTCTCTAGTTTTGTAGCTTTTCTATCTGTCTTTTCTTTGTCTTTCGTTTGTACCTATATTTTTTTCTGTCTTTCCGTCAGTCAATCTGTCTACACTTATCAGCCCAGCTCGATTACATAGATCTACAGCAGTGTCTAATCTTTATCGGCTCGTCCAGTCGTTTTTTATTCTTTAATATTACCACAGAGTACAGAGCTATTCTTTAGAATCTGGTTAGATTTGCTCAGTAAGGCGTTATAGTTCTTCTGGGTATTTGACTTCATTGTTAAATTTGTATGAATATCTCACCCAGTGCATTGAGTTTTATACTCTATATCTATACGATTATGTATTTTTTATACAATGTCGACGGCAGAGCACAAGAAGTGACTATATCCAATTTTCACATTTTCGAGAAAAAAGAGTTTGAAATGTTGACGATAGTGAAATCTCTATAACTTAGTAAAAAAGAAACGTTAATAATTTGATACTAAATCAAGCTACGGCTTAAATAATTACAGAGGTAAAACAGTAACTTAAAATCTCACTACCCATATCAATTACTCCATTTCGATCAAAAGTCACTTCTCGCGCTCAACCATCGATGTGTTTGAGGTGTATAGTTAGAGACAAGAAATTTTTTTGCAAGCTATATGCTTCCCGTAGCGTGGAGAACTCACAGTCCGGGCAGTAGAAGCGTCCCAAGTTGAGGCCTCCTTGACATCTGTAGTACGTCACGCATTTGTCTCCTGGGTCAGGATACGAACCGTCAGCCTTTCCTGCACACTCCGTGGGTAGGTAGCAGTCGGTCTTGCCTTCTCCTGGTCTGTAAAGAGACAGGGGTCAGGAAGACATCGGTAAAAAAGACTTGGGTCAGGTAGGAAGCAAATTATGGTTAGGATACTGGCAACAATCTCTCTAGTGGATCACTATCTTGTAGCTGTTAGAGAGCTTGTGTGCCTCAGTGACCCCAAGAGCTACGCTCGCTGGAGCTAATGCTCCTGGTAGGGCCACCGATGCCAGACAGGTCGACGGGTAGAGGTGAGACGAAGCGTGATCCACCGGCCCTCCAGGTTTCGGAGGTTCTGCTCAGGGCTAACGACCCAGACAGGTAAAAATCATATTATGTCACAGAAACAGAAACACAGAGAAACCAAAACAGACTGAGCTGGAGATCCTTTGTTGCTGCACTAAACGCCAGATAACGTAACGGGTAGTAAGTAAGTAACTGGCAACAATGATGAAGAGACTAGAGAAAAGTTAGACAACTTAGATAACTAAAGATACACACCAACCCACGATTTTGTAAGTCGCCCCCACACGTCAAAGTCAACCTCGAGCTGGAGACCTACAAAAATGTTTAAGTGATCACAAGTCAAAAATGCAGTTGCACGAGAAACCCAGTGCAGTACAAACATTATGATTGTTGAGAATTTCTTGGAAGGAAAAGAAACCAAACGAGGAAGTACTTAAAGAAGCCCATGTGGGCCACTCGCTGATAAGCTGAAAAAACGACGACTAAGAAGAGACAAATTATATGCAGTTTCTGGGACACTTGAATCGACAAAAGGGTCTTAGCTTTCACTGATAAAACTGAAGACACACGAGGTGGGGTTAGATCTAGCGCAACCTACTAGAAAGCCAAAACAAATGGGAGACGGAGAAAGATCAGGATAATGTATTTTTTTTTTAGACTTCCAAGTAAAAGAATGATGGCGGACTATGATCGCCGATGCCTGTCGCAGACCTGGCACTTGATGATGATGGTATTGATGATGATGATGATGATGATGATGATGATGATGATGATGATGATGATGATGATGATGATGATGATGATGATGATGATGATGATAAAGGTGATGCACAACAACGACTATTTCCACAAGGATGTTGTTATTACAAGCTTACAGAGTATTGTGTTCACAATCTCCCACCTGATACATTTCATTGAGTGTCTCTCAAACACCATGCCCACCGGACAGGAGTGGACCTCCGGTGTGCCGTTGACGCAGTTGGCGTAGCCCCAGCAGCCGATCTCATGCAGGCCATCCTTCTCACCCGTGCAGTCGATGATGTGTGGGGCCGATTGTGTCTGACCTGTTGGGGGATAAGGCGGGGCTTTTTTGTTTTTTTGTTTCTTTGTTGGTTTTAGGGTTTTTTGTGTGTTTGTTTGTTGATTGTTTTTCGGAGAGTGGGGGTGGGGTGGGGGTGGGGTTGTGATTTCAGTCGTTGGTGGGTTCAATTGATTGTATTTTTAGAAGTCTTGAAGTCTGTTGGTTGTGTTTTCAGGCGTTTGTGGGTTCAGTTGGTTGTACATTAAGGCGTTTGAGGGTTGAACGGATTATAGCTGATTGCTTTACTTTTTCAATTTGATGATTGTATCTTCAGTCGTTTCGAGAAGATGACAGAAGTAAAATAATAAAACAAAAACGAAACAAATAACAACGATCAGAAATTAATTCATTACCAAATCGTTTTATAAAATCGCCTACAATTATCTTTGATAAACATCATTTGTGACGTTGGACGTTACATTCCCCATGTGTTCAGATTTTCCCTAACTTCGCGGTACATTTACTGAATTACATGAAGAGACTGGCCATCTGTGGAATCCCGCTTTGAAGAAGGCACGTGGGTACACACACACACACACACACACACACACACACACACACACACACACACACACACACACACACACACACACACACACGCACACGCGCGCGCGCACACACAAAGACTTCGGCAAAAGCTGACCCTTTTAGGTAAAAAGAGAAAACCACTTTTAAGTACATTCCAATCAAGACTTGGTTACATCAACTCACTTAGAGCACTCTGACATATCACAGAACACACAGTCAAGGCAAGGAGATACATGCTTGCTTCAGTGGTGTTCTGATATAATATTAAACTCAAATTCACAAGATAATTCAAGTTTGGAACTCTTGACAAAAAGGTACAAGGAAGTTGGGTTGGGGTTTTTTTCCAGGTCAACTTTCCTGCCAAACTTGCCAGCAGCTTGTGTGAGGATCCTGGAGAAAGACAAAGAAAAGAATGAGTCATTTTTCGTGGCTTCTTTCCTTATATCTATCTAAAAAAAAGATCCACTTAAAGGGCAATCACTTGTCATCTCTAAACTCATTTAAATAAAACTCCAAGTTAATAGAATTCAACCAGAGACCAGAGGGACGTCAATTTCGTAAATATGAAGAAAATCGAACAACTCAATGTTGAACAGGATGTCAAAAAAAAAATCGACCCAGGAAACATACCACAGGCTTATTAAAATTTTCAAGTGGCGTTTTGGTCTTTGTATCAAAAGAAATTACAGCTAGAAAAACAAATGAAGAAGTCTTGGTAGAAGCAAATTGCAGAAGACAACTTATGACGAATATAAGAAAGCGACAGGGAAATTTCTTCGGACATACAATGCGGAAAGAAGCATTGGAGAATATTGTAACAACAGGCACGTTTGATGGAAAGAGAGGCAGAGGCAGACAGAGGGAAAAGATACTGGACAAAATGACAACATGGCTAGAAGCAGCAAGACCAGCAGACACCATTGCTGCAACGCAAGACAGGGTGAAGTGGAGGTCCATGATGGCCCACGCCAGTTGGCAAGGAACCGGATGATGATGATCATGATCAAGAGAATTGATTAATACCAGGGATTGAAATCGCAACCACCAGCTCTAAATTTATTTAGGAATATCAATTTTGTATAAATTTAGTTTTTCACGGCAGAAATAGCGACTATTCGAAATAGAGCAATAGAACAATAATATGTTTGTTTTTTAAGAAGTTGTAAAATTTTGCGTTTTAGTCAATTTTGGTAGAAATTTTAAGAATTTGATATTTTTCAAAATTTGTTGATAAGCATTTTTCATATTGATAAATTTTAATGTTATGTCCTCAAGGTTGAATTGTATTTCTTCGAAGTTTTGTTGAAATCAGTCCCAATATGATTGAGCTATAACCATTAAATGGGTCCTGTTTTTTGACACCCAGTAATTACCTTGCATTTGAAGTAACACGCCCTGCAGGGACCCTGGATTTATGTCCATGTCTTTCAAGATGCTGTTACTTGTTTCTGTTGTTGTTGTTATTGTTGTTTGCTTGTTTGTTTGTTTGTTCGGTTTTAAAGTGCAGCCTCTAAAGTAGATTCACGACAGCAGTATAGTGTACGTGGAATGTATTACATTCGTTTGCAGCTGTTGTTTGCATGACTGTTTCTGAACAGCTAAAGTACATGAGGATTTTTTTTAAAGATCCTTATTCAGAATTTCATATGTCATGGGGCACTAATAACGCATGCAGACTTCAAAAGGATTTTGACAACGGATATCAGTTGGAAATCTACAAAAATAGTCAAATAAAAGCTCAATAAAAAGAGCAAGCATGACACTTTCTAAATTTTGAATCAGTACATAGAAAACATTGGACCAATAAAATATACTTATGATAAACTATTAAATATGGCTAATGGAGCCTAATCAATTATACATAATGGCAATCTATTAAATATAGTTAGTATAGCTTTATACGTTATGACAAAGTATCAAATATGGCAAATGGAGCCTTATACGTTGTAACAAACTATTACATAGCATGGCTAGTGGAACCTAATACGCTTGTGACCAGCTATTGTGTGTGGCAAATAGAGCCTTCTACGGCTCTTTGTTGAGGAACGTGCCTTGTCATAAAAAATGCAACGTACGGTACCCACAACAGCTCGTTCACTTTCGTTTGTCCGTGGTAAAAACATTATTAACCTGGTAAAAAAATTATAGGTCTATTATGCATTGACCTATGCCCTCAAATCTTTGTATGGCCATCAAGCAAACAAACGTATATTCTAAAAAAAAATCTTGATTCTGTAGTAAATGAGTTTTTCTTTTTGGGCCCTTTATTAAAAAAACCGCTTGGATAAATAAATAGAATCATTAAAAGAAATATCTTACAGTAACCTAACCAACAAATTGCTCATTTTGAGACAGCGACATCATCCTGCCCCCACGTTTCGGTGTAGGCTTATAGATTTCATCCCCTGACTTGCCCAGACGTCTCCATGTAAGTCGAAAATTGCTTACCCCGTCTATTGAATCTTGTTTCGTAGGCAAAAGTTAAAGTGTGGTGATGAGGAAAAATGTGCCAACTATTTAATGTTAATGCGTATGCTGTAAATCCTGTTTTATTTCACCCCCCCCCCCCCACCCTTTCGCTTTAGGATAACATCAAAGAAAACAAGTCGGAAGCATAGTTTGTAATTACCTTAATGAATGGGCTTTTAGATTCTGTTGGTTATCCAATTTTAAAACACGTACGCAAAGATCGGAGAAGATTAAACATAGCGATTTCCTTTTTATCTTGTTTGAACCGCGGTCAGACGAAAGTGTTACATTACAAAAAACCGACAGAAACCTCGAGCAATTTCCTCCGTATGATATTATTGTCCGAGGTGAGATTCGATCCCAGATTCACGTTTAGAACACCCGATTCTAATTCAGTTGTTCAGTTAAATAAACAAACTCTTCTGTGGATATGACCAGGAACTATTCTTGATGAATGTATTCTTTATAACACTACTTACTGGACAGCTATTGAGACGTGGAAGTTATTTTGTCTGTGAGTGTTCCTACTCTTATTTATACCTGGACTGAAGCAGAGCAAAACTGTTGGTCAGTCACTGGTCACTGTGCCCACATCTATTTCAATCCATTCTACACTCAAACCACGTGATGTGAGAGGAGGTGTTCAGGAATGAGTGTCACGTGACAGGGCCTAGGTGTGACGTCACATCTGTGTGCCATTACTCGAGTTTTTGATTGGTTGAGGCACGCCCGGAGTTTTCCTGGAGATAAGGCACGTCTGTGACGTCACTCATCGCCTACGTCCCACTGCACATAGATAGTTACTCATATGTTACGCTGGAATGAAGAGAATTACGCTCAAAACCTCCAGGAAACAATTTAGATTAATTAGGAGTCGGGCTGCTTTCACTTTGCCTATTACGGCAACTCGGTATGGATGGGGCAAAATAACCCAGAACGAAGACACAGAATCTCGATAAATGTTTTTACTTTTTTTTTCCCTGCACGATACGTGAATGTACGTACATGTACCTAATTAATGTGTATAGGTCAACGTACACGACAGTGAGTGCCTGGGAATGTTGGCATTATTGAGATTGTGTCTACTTGTTTGAGTATGAGTGTGTGTCTGTGTATGTTTGTGAGTGTGTGTGTGTGTTTGTGTGTGTGTGTGTGTGTGTGTGTGTGTGTGTGTGTGTGTCAGTGTGAGTGTGTATGTGTGCGTGCGTGCGTGTGCGTGGGTGAGTGAGTGAGAGAGTGAATGAGAGAGTGAGTGAGAGAATGAGAGAGTGAGAGAGAGAAAGAGAGACAGAGAGAGAGAGAGAGAGAGAGAGAGAGAGAGAGACAGAGAGAGACAGAGAGAGAGAGAGAGAGAGAGAGAGAGTGTATGTTGTGTGTACGTTTGACGGTTGCCAGCACACCTTGTCTTCGACGTCACAATACAGAGCACAGTTAAGTACCGATTCACCTTGTTGTTGACGTCAGGATATAATGTACAGAATAATACCGACTCACCTTGTTTTCGTGCGTTCAATGAAAACCTGCGACATAATAATGGACCCGCCTACTCCCACACAGCTCCGAAGCTGCAGTTACAACCAGGTCATTGGTATTTTTAAAAAAAGAAAAAGAAAACCAAGCTGGTTTTGGACCAAGTTTGTGTCTTGTGTTAAAAATAAGGCATAATTTGTCATAATAAATACAATGTACGTTTTATTACTTATTTCTCGGAAGCACAATCTCTTTGTGAGAGTTGATCTCTTCTCACCACTGTCAGTTTGTTTGTTCTTTCATTCGTCTGTTTGTTTGTTTGCTGTGGTCGAAACGAGGAATGAAATAGACATACGCCTGAAATAGTGACGCTCTGGAATTTGTTTAATTCAACGATGTTCGCCCAAGGCGCGCATCAAATACGTCTTATAATACCTTTCTTGACATAATTTATACATTATTAAACTACCAGGGTGTGTGTGTGTGTGTGTGTGTGTGTGTGTTTGTTTGTGTGTGTGTGTGTGTGTGTGTTTGTGTATGTGTGTGTATGTGTGCGTGTCTGTCTGTGTGTGTGTGTATATGTGTGTGCGTGTCTGTGTTTGTGTGTGTATGTGGATTTCTGAGTGTATGCAAAATCATAAAACCTATTCTCATGTACAAATGAGTCTAATATTAGTAGTGCGTATTTTTTTTTTGGTGGGGGTGGGGTGGAGTGGCGGTAACCAAATTTTAGATTCAAACAAAGTCTTGAGTGGAGGGAGAGAAGGTTGAAGAAAGCAGTACATGTATTTGATCTAACTTGGCTCGGGATCACAGAAAAAAAGATTCGTTAAAGCATGCCAAAAATGAAAGTCGGAGACTCGGGGGGGGGGGGGTGGGAGGGCTTTTTCACACAACGCCCCATCCCAGTGGAACGCGTCACTGGATATCAATGGGATGCAACCACAGTATCAAAATTCAAATCAGCAAAACGCATTTGTTCCTCATCAGTAATGACCCAAAGCACAATTTTTTTTTGCCCTTAGAGATTTAAAAAAAACCCCAAGTTTTCTGTCATAAGTGGTTGTGTGTCATCACCTATGTGTAAACACGCACGCGCCAGGTGTGTATGCACGTGGGGGAAAGGGTGGGGAGGCTTTAACAGCTCCAATACATGGATGGTTGGTGCCTCTGAAAATAAAGTACATATTGACAAAGTCGGACAGGTTAGGAAGAGAGGAGAAGTGGTGGGGGTGGGGGTGGGGCAGGCAGAGGGAACGGAGAGAGAGAGAGAGAGGAGGCTGTACATGTTTGTTTTAGTAAAGTTTTACGGCGCTCGCAACTGCATAAGGTCATATGAGCGCGTGAAAAAAAGTTGATTCCCTTCGCAACAATTCACTTTACAGCCTCATTCTGGTCAACACCTCTATTAAAATTAAAATGCAAAAAATTTGATGTAAATAAATTCTTAATTTAAAATAACTTTTTAAATAACATAAAACATTTTAACGCTTTTACAATTTCCAATAAAATCTTTTATAAAATCAAGGATTCTGTTGGGATCAACGACGGAAAACATATCTTGCAATTTTTTGCATCTAAAATATTTCCATCGGGTCTCAGCGAAGTCTAGATATTCTGTTAAAATGTGTCTAATGATAAAAATTTGTGTAAAAAAGAAATGTTTCTCATCTCCCTGAAGGAGGTATTTATGTGTAAGGGACGTGTGTCCGATGCGTAATCGAGTAAAAATGACTTCGTCTCTTCCGGAGAGGCCGGAAGGTTTTTGCGGACCCAGTTTGGGCTTAGTGTTGTGTAGCTTTTTGCTTTCTTGTTTTTTCCAATGAGTCTCTCACTGACTGGAGGTGTAGTTTTTTTACTATATTTTTAAAGTCAGCCTGTGGGAGAGTGTTCGTCGTTGATCCCAACAGAAGGGACAAAGATTCTTTCGCCAGGAGGTCCACTTGCTCGTTTGCTTTGATGCCCACATAGGTAGGAAGCCATGCGAACACGATACTTTTCCCGATTTCAGCCAAAGCGTGTATTTTATTTTAAACCTAATTACGAGTTTTGGGTGCAAGAGTGTGTAGTTTGTAAGTGAGGTAATGCAAGACAGAGAGTCAGATAGAAGAAGGAAAGATTTGTTAGGAGAATTTTCTATGGAGTCTATAGTGCCATGTCAATGGCAGTGGCCTCCGTAGAGAAAATGGAGGCTTCGGGATGGAGTCTCCTCTTGTGTGTACTGTTCGGGGATAGGGCAGCGGCGCCCACAGCAGAGTCCGATTTTGAGCCATCTGTGAAGATTAGCTCTGCACCGGGATTTTTTTTTCTTAACGTTTTTTTGTCTTCTGCTTTAAATGTTTTGATGTTCGTGCTTGCTTTGGTATGTGTGGTCAGCTGTAAGTCTATTTTTGCCTTGGTGAGGTGCCAGGGAGGGATTCCAGGGAAAAGAAATTGTTGGATGTCTTGTTTGAATAAGTGTATGTTTTAAAGGTCCTCAAAGACTCTGAGGCCGAAGGGTTTGATAAGCTTTTCGTTGTTTTTCAGTTTGTTTATGGTGTCTCTGTTTGTTCTGAAAATACAGTCGTGTGCTGGGTTCTCTGGTGTTGAGCTTTGTTTAATTGCGTATTGTAGTGAAAGTTGTGTGCGTCTGAGTGTGAATATGTTTGCCTCAGCCTGGAGGCTCTCCACTGGAGAAAGCCCCCAGGGCGAGGTGGAGTCCTTGGTTTTGTACTGGGTCTAGTATTTTTAGGACGTGGGGTTTTGCCGATCCATAGACCTGACAGCCGTAGTCACGCCTGGATCGGACAAGGGTAATGTATAGGTCTAGAAGGAAATTTGTGTCCCCGCCCCACTCCGGACACGATGAAATTTCCAAAAACGCTTTCTGGCACCTCACACGGAGGTCTTTTATGTGTGGAATGAATGTGAGATTCTTGTCAAATATAATGTCGAGGAAACAAGCCTGGTCCTGGACGGGAATCCATTTACGTATAGCGTCAAATCCGGTAGCAGTACACCTCTGCCTGATCGGCAGAAGTGTTCTGCAACCGTCTTTGGCGGGAAAAACTTGACGCCTTTATTATTTACTCACTTTTCACGTTTGTGCAGCTATTGTATATGTTTGAATGCATCTTACTATTATTATT